AGTCTTGTAAAAGTACTTTGCACTTCGAAGGTGCAAAGCACATACCATATCTACGGACATTGATTGCCAACTGATTAAGTGCGGACTGCATGACTTGGGCATTATCGCACAGTAAGACAATATCATCTGCATATTCAAGATCGAGAATTCTTTCTCCAGGCAACAGATCCATACGACCACCACTCACATCCATCAGAGCTATTTCCAGAATGTCATCGATGGCAAGGTTGAAGAGGAATGGTGAGATTGGGCAACCCTATCTAACCTCACTGCTTGAATGGAACAGTGGAGAGAGGTGGTTGTATGCCCTCACTCTGCCTGAGGTGTTTTTATATAGGGATTTTAGGATGTTAATAAACTTCTCAGGCACACCCTTCTTCAATAGACAATCCCAGAGAACAGTCCTGTCCAACGAATCGAAGGCAGCCCTAATGTCAAGAAACATTACGATTGTTGGCCTTTGATAAATATGGCGGTGTTCTAACAAATAAAATGAAATGACGATGATTACTGAAGATATATTCGTATATTCCCAACCGAAGCTGCTACCTTGACGCGGTGGTCGGGCTTGCCTATCGTGATGACCCAACCGAGCTATATTGGCTGGAACATATGTTCCTGTAGGTTCTACCATGCCAGGCAGGTCGATTGGAGAACGGTAAGACTAAAAGCAGCAACTCAAGGTCTGAGGGCGAAGTCGTACTGCTGACTGTAGAGGGGTGTGACAGCAGTAAGGTGTTTCCCTCGGACAACCAGCATGACAGCGATGCTGCCTTCCCACAAGGAGGGGTGGGGTTAGAAAAGGTCGACCCTAAAAATGTCACACCTCACCTTACCTCACGGATTTCCGTCTCCGGCGGTAAGGCCCTTTGAAGAACGGAGCTAACACGTCAAAAACCTTCCACAAAAAGGCCGTGCGCGACCGGCCTCAAGCAGTTGTCCCTTGGGCTCTGCGGTCACGCTCCCAGGTCGTCAAGACCAACACTAATCCAATTTCCTTTTCAGGTTCCTCAAGAAATACCCTTCCACGGTGTGGGCAGCCGGGAAGTGACATCAGCCCTCATACCCGTAACAGCACAAGAGACCAAGGTCACATTCAAATCCTTCCTACACCTCCTAATACCTCTCTTATCTCCATGACTAACCCTCCTCACGTCTCTTTATCACCTCGCACCGCTAGGGCAAACGATTCGAGTACGTGGAACGCCATTCCTGGTCTCCTGAAACCACGCTCTAAACTACACGTAGGAGCTTTTAACGTACGAACACTTTGCCAAATAGGACAGCAGGCTTCCTTAGCTAAAACTTTAGAATCTCGCGCCATCGATGTGTGCTGCGTCTCCGAAACGCGCATACAGGATCCGAGTAGCGTCATTCATTTGACCTCACCATGCCAAAATAAAGAACCGACTCGATTTACGCTTCGTGTATCTGGAAGCCCTGATTCTGCTTCCCGTGGCCTCGCCGGCGTAGGTATAGCATTGAGTCCTAGGGCAGAACTAGCTCTCTTAGAGTGGATCCCAGTAGACAGTCGTTTGTGCGCTGTCCGACTGAACGGAACAGTAAGAATCCGGAAAGATAGGGACACTCGTCGTTGCCTCTTCGTCGTCTCTGCCTATTCTCCCACTGACTGCAGCTCAGATGATGTAAAAGATGAGTTTTACAGAAAGCTTTCGGACCTTCTCCGAAAAGCTAGGCGCTCGGATGTAGTAATAGTGGCCGGTGACTTTAATGCTCAAGTAGGTAAACTAAGCGATAGGGAAAGACACCTAGGTGGATCTTATGGTGTCGTGGCTCAAAGAACAGATAATGGCGACCGTCTGTTGCAGCTATGCTCAGATAACCGCCTGTTCCTTGCAAATACTAACTTTAAGCATAAGGAAAAACATCTTTTAACATGGCGACCCCCTAATTCGTCCCAACGTTGGACCCAAATAGATCACATCGCTATCAGCCACCGATGGAGGGGCTCGATAGAAGACTGTCGCTCATTCTGGAGCACATGCCTAGATTCAGATCATGCTCTAGTGCGAGCGCGTATTTGCTTGCGTCTTACTGGACGTAGGAAAGACGCTGCAAGGAAACCTCTTAGGGCCTACTTAATGATAGTCAAGCTAAGAGTATATTTCAGGAACAACTAGGAAAACAGTTAGGCAGCCATGTATGTGATGCCCACCCCGATGCAGCATGGAATGATATCCGAAAAGCTGTGGAAACAGCAGTGATATCTGCTAGTAAGGTAAACCAGAAGGTTAGGGAGCAACACTGGATCTCAGCAGCATCTATCGCACTGATAGATGCTCGGAAACTCATTCCACCTGGCTCTGAACATAATGAAGAGCGGAGTCAGCTTAAGCGCAAGCTGACAAGAAGTCTACGCAATGATCGCGAACAGTGGTGGGTAGCGAAAGCAAGAGAGATGGAAAAGGCAGCGGCAATAGGTAATAGCAGACAATTGTTCAGACTCGTTAAGGAAACCGTTTAGGGACCCGACCGTTAGCGAAACAATCTCAGAGAAAGATGGACATATTATTCATTCTCAATCCAGGAGATTGGATCGATGGGCAGAACACTTTAGGGATCAGTTCAACTGGCCTTCAGCCACACTTCGGTTTCCCACGATCTCCAGTCAACCTGAATGGCAAGTTAATGTAGGTCCTCCGTCCCTTTACGAAGTTGAAAAAGCCATAGGAAATCTGAAACGAGGGAGAGCAGCAGGCCCTGACAGGTTTACTCCTGAGATTTTTAAGGATGGTGGTCCAGTATTAGCAATGAGATTAACTGAGGTCTTAGGTAGAATTTGGGAACTGGACGTAATCCCATCTGACTGGTCTCAATCACTGATTGTGCCAGTTTTTAAGAAAGGACAAAAGTCCTCTTGTGACAATCACAGAGGAATCAGTTTGACTAATATAGTGTCTAAAATATTAGCTTCAATAATACTTCGACGCCTAACCAAAGCTCGTGAAGAGCAGACTAGAGAAAACCAGGCTGGTTTTCGACCTGGACGTGGTTGTATAGATCAGATATTCACACTACGTCAGGTTCTAGAACACAGACACACATTCAGACGCCCCACAATGGTAGTATTTCTCGACCTTAAGGCGGCATTCGACTCTGTTGATCGTGAGGTTCTATGGCAGTGTTTGTCACTGAAAGGAGTACCAAAGAAGTACATTAACCTTATAAAGGCTCTCTACTCGAACACAACTGGTCGAGTGAGAGCTTATGGCGAACTGTCATCAGAATTGATTACCTCAAGTGGTGTTCGTCAGGGCTGTCCACTCTCCCCATTCTTGTTCAACTTTGTCGTCGACGTACTTTTAGAGATAACACTCTCCTCATCTAAATTTACAGGGGTTGAACTTCTACCGGGAGGTTCACTTGTTGACTTAGAATATGCTGATGACATAGTTTTATTTGGTGAAGACGCTGACAAAATGCAGAGTCTTCTGACCACTCTAAGCAACAATGCAAGCATGTTCGGGATGCGATTCTCCCCCTCGAAATGCAAAATGTTGCTTCAGGATTGGGTTACATCGACACCCGAACTAGTGATAGGGAGTGAAGTAGTTGAGTGTGTCGACCGCTTCACTTATCTTGGAAGTCTCATCAGCCCTTGTGGTCTGGTGTGTGACGAAATCTCAGCACGGATACAGAAGGCTCGACTAGCTTTTGCCAACTTGCGTCATTTATGGCGTAGGCGAGATATCCGTCTATCAACCAAAGGACGTGTTTACTGCGCAGCAGTTCGTTCCGTCCTACTTTATGGCAGTGAAACATGGCCGGTAAGAGTAGAGGATATTCGTAGGTTACTAGTATTTGATCATAGGTGTCTTCGAAATATTGCTCGTATATCATGGGACCATCGAGTAAGTAACACAGTTGTTAGGAAACGGGTACTAGGTAAGGATGGCAAATCAATTGATGAAGTAGTGAAACTTCATCAGTTGAGATGGCTGGGACACGTGTTACGTATGCCCAACGACCGACTGCCTCGACGTGCTATGTTCAGTGGTATAGGAGTAGGTTGGAAGAAAGCTAGGGGCGGCCAAACCAAAACATGGCACAAGTCCATGAAGTCACTGACAAGTGGTTTGAGTCATGTTGGTAGGTGTAGACTACCTGGTTGGGGACCGCGAGATGATAGCAACCGATGGTTAGAGACCCTGAATGACATGGCTCAAAATCGTTTGCAATGGCGCAGGTGCATCCACTCTCTGTGTTCTCCCAAATTCTAATCTTCTGAATTCTTCATGTCCCTTTTTTTTCTCTTTCCAAATTTATTTCACTGGATGATACTCATTGAATAACATCTTCAAACTCTAATCTTTCCGATTACTGCTTATACTTTTACTACCTCTACCACTATGGGATTTGAATCAACAATTGTGTTTCTGTGCTTATGTGGTATGGCAACTTGAACTGATGTACGTACGTACGAAGTACTGCTTTGATGCTGACTGACGGACTGAATTTTCAGAATGTTGGAGAAACTAATTTGTTGTTGAAAACTTATCTTTGCCCGTTAGACCGAACTAGATAGGAATGTTGGGTAGTTGATAGAAAATAGAAGCAAACAAAAAATGCGAAGATAGTTAACTGGACATGCGAAGAGTACACACTCTATATCTGCCAACATCGTGAGATTTTTTTCTTCTTACACTTTAATGTCTTATTAACTCGTTATCAAGACATCTAGTGAATATCTGATCCTAGATTTATGATCATTTTGGAAACCTATTTCATACAATCTGCTTTGTAAATCCACATTCATAAGCAGTAAAACCTAAATGAAAATACCTTCTATTATATCCTGGTGAAGATTAAATTGCGAGTAACTTCCGAAAACTATTAATGACCTAATATTATATATATATATATATATATATATATATATATATATATATATATATATATATATATATATTCGTAGATACCCAAAGTATTTGTTTATAAGTTTTCTGTATTGCTAATTAATACGTTCCATATTTGTATAGGATATGTTTCATGATGAAGCTTCGGTCGACGAAGACGATGAAGAAGAAGATGAAGAATATGACGACGAGGGGGAACTGATTGGTCCGGAAGATGAAGAAGCCCTGGACGCTGTACCTGCAGCTCGAGAATTAGATTCTCGCCGGAGAATACGTGAGATCATGGACCAAGATGAAGAGGAAATAGAAAGATATTATCAAGAGCGTTATGAGAACCAAATTATGTCGATCGTTTTGGTGATGGTGAGGCTATGGCTGATAGTATTGTTCAAAAGGAACGTCTTCCAGGTATCAAAGATCCTAACCTCTGGGCACTTCGATGTAAAATGGGTGAAGAAAAGGCTACTGTACTTGCACTGATGCGTAAATTTATAGCCTATCAATTTTCTGACACTCCACTACAAATTAAGTCAGCCTTTGCTAAGGAAGGTTTGAAGGGTTATATTTATGTTGAGGCTTTCAAGCAAACTCATGTTAAACAAGCCATAGACGGTATAACAGCTTTACGACTTTCAATGTACAAGCAACAACTTGTTCCAATTGAAGAAATGACAGAAGTTGTACGTGTGGTGAAAGAAACTGGTCAACTTAAACCTGACCAGTGGGTTCGGATTAAATCTGGACTCTATCGTGATGATTTAGCATTGGTAAGCACAAAAGGTTTGACATTCAACTGTGGAATTGAGTTTGCGCTATTGTCCAGTGTATCTTATTATCAGTTGGTATATTTTTAAAATTTATTTATTTCCAATTATTTATTTTGCGTTTCAGTTGAGGAGCTTTCGTTGTTATTCTAAATGACGTTCTGGGTTCAAGAGAAGTAGTACCACAATTAACCTGTAGTTTGGTGAATATTAATAACAGTACTAATCGCTTTATTCAGTACTATATGTTTGAAACAAAAGGGAATTCTCTGGATAAAATATTTAAACAAGTTCCTCTTGTCCCACACATATATTACGAAAAATATGTAAATAAAATAAGTATAGTTATTTAAAATGAAATGAAAAGCAGCCTTTACAATTAGTATGCGAGCTTTTGTGATTGTCGAGTTTTGTAGCTTACCTTCGGGTTGACTCTAGGTAGACAACCATTAAGAACCAGGAAGCACTGGACAGTTTCATCCTAGTAAGGGACTCCTTGCTAGTATTCAAGCCCCCAAATGCCCTGGTACGGCTGAGAGTGGGGAGAGTTCGCTCTCCTTCTAGAAATGCTCTCACATGGCCACGTGTATATAGCCTCTGCCAGGGAAGTCCCACTCACTCCCTTCTCGTGACGGGAGTGTTGTTTATGAAATTGAAAGGACGAAAAGAGAATGTCCGGTGCTTTAAACGGGTTGGTGGACATGGAGAGTCCACCTAGGGGAGTTGGAAAACCCTGATTCAAAACCAATGGTGCACATGGGCTCCAGTATCCTGAAGGAACAAATGGCGTATGAACCAATTGTTGGTCACCGGTTACCATGGGACTGCACCTCTTCACGTTACTCCACCGCCTTGTGGACCAGACCTTTAGGTCGAAGGTTCCGGGTGTGCCCCCCTGAAAAAACCACCTGCTTCGGTTTGGACACCCGAGCAGTATCACAGCCCTCATACAAATCAAATGAGATTTGTGTAACGCATATGTATTTGGTGCCCCTTTGTACTAATATTTATGTGTTCAAATAAATAAATAAAACTAGTATTCATCCCTGGTCTTGCCAGGGGTCGAACCTGGGAACTAAGTACTCCACAGTGAGCGATTAACGCAATAATTTTAATCACCATTAGCTTTATAACAATAAGGATCATGAAAATGTTCATTTAAGTGTAATAAGAACTTCAGAGATAACCGCTTCTAATCACAGTATGTAAATAGTTAAAGGGTATTTAAACGATCACTGATTATTAATGGGTAAACGATGTTCTGTTTCATTCTGATGTTTTCAGAATCTTTTATCATATTTGTCAAAACAATATTTTAGGTTGCTTGTACCTTGAGTTGATTATCAAATCAAAGTTTTGATGTTTTTCTAGGTTGAATATGTAGAGGATGCACAAAATTTAGTTGGTCTTAAGTTAGTTCCTCGAATTGATTATGAAAGAAAACGTAATCGTGGCACAGAAACAGATGATAACAACAAGTTTAAACGTTTTAAGCGCCCAGCACCAGCACTATTCAATGCATCAAAATTATCTGATCGTGTACAACGTGATGGATCATCATTGGTTTTTGAGGGGAATCGATACGATACTGATGGATTCTTGCATAAACAATTTCGTATTAATGCTGTTGTAAGTAAAAGTTTTTTTATTCATGAAATATGCGTTACATTTTTTAAAGCATTTATATTGTATTGAACTCTGGGTATATAGTTTAAAGTTGCGACCTTATAAACTACTATGTATTCGTCGTTTGTGTTGTAACTGCGCGAGACTGATGTGGCCACTTGTTATAACTGCGGACAAACTGGCGCTTGTTATGTGTTATAAATAAACAAGACTGATAAAGCTTGATTCAAGGAAGAAGGCAAGACTGTTAATCAAGATCTTTTATGCACCAGAACAAATCAGAATATATCTAAATATACTAAATCATACATGATTTATTTATCTGGTCAGTAGTTATATGTGAATATATTAAACTGGTAAAATATTTGTCATAAATTAATCAATGAATTAACGGATGTATACAATTTATAATATCAATAGATTAAACTGCTTTCACTAAAGTGTATGTTTAAATTACTGAGATATGTATTTGCTCTTTCATAACAGCTTGAAACTCCAATTCTAACTTGAACACTATGTTGAAGACACTGGAGAGATGGCTCATTGATTAAAACATTAGACTTTTAACCACTAAGTTTCAGATCCGAATCCTCCCTACCTACTTCGGTTTGGACAATCGAATAATATCGTTAGCCTTCACAATTAAAGTGTGACTCGAAGCCGAGTACATGAATCCATATTTGGTATCAAGTAAAGACAAAAACCTCTGTAATCGGAGACTTGTCGCTCTATTACTTTATTTCACAATAGAAATACCTACGTTGTGTCCAGAACTAGTTGCTACATAAGTGAAAAAAACTAATAGTAATTGTACTTAAGTTGTCTACTCATGTTTGTCCAATATGGATCGATATTTCTAGGATTCATAAACATTTTTTATGAAAAGTAGGATTACATGATCTGCATCTTGAACAGTCTAGAGCTAATATATCAAAAAATAATCTCCTAACTTTGTTTATCATACAAGGTAATGTACTAGTATGTTTTGGCCAAACCGATGCATAACACCAATATATAAAATTATATTTATCTGGATCTCAGCAAATGAAACTAACCAGTTACAACATTTCTATCACGGCTAGATTCAAGCATATTCAGATGAACCATCAAAATTATCAAAGTCATGAAAATAAATTATCTTTTGACATTCATAATCTTCCTTTAAGAATTGAAATCGATAATAATACCAATTTTCAACTTCGAAATATCCAGGGGCATCCAGCTGACAAGTCCAAAGTGGGACGAGACGTGCGTCCTAGATTCCACTGATAGCCACCATCCATCTCTGCTTAGAGATGTGCAGTTCTATTTTAGTCATTTAGCCGATGTGATCAAATTTTTTTTGTAAATATACGAAAATGATGAAGTTAAATAAAATATTTATACTTAATAATTAAAAGACTACAAAATAAATCGTTCTTGTTTCAGTTTACTGAAGGCATTCGACCTACACTGGCTGAACTTGAAAGATTTCATCATACTCCTGATAGTCTACAAATAGCTGCTGCCGCTGCTAATGCTGCAGCTAATTTAACTTCAACTGTTAATGTTGAGATTGCTTCAAATCATTGTTTCACTCCTGGGGATGTTGTCGAAGTATGTGAAGGTGATCTTAAGAATCTTCGTGGTAAAGTTGTCTCCATTGAAGGCAATAGCAGGATTATTGTTCAGCCGAATCATTCTGACTTACGAGAACCCATACCGTTTACACCAGTGGAATTAAGAAAGTTCTTCAACCAAGGTGATCATGTCAAGGTAATATTATTATATGTATTATATATTGCTCCTTTAAAAACAAATTCCGACTCGATGTCTCCTCGTAGCACTGCTCAGTATTGAGGGCAACCTTGCTACCTAATTTGGGCGGTTAACAAAGACCGGACTAATCCCCCGCCCTACTGTGAACTGGATTACTTGGGTCCCAATTTCGAAGCTCAATAAATCTTTCGGGCTGTCCGATGTGTGTGTTTATGTATATGAATTGTATGAGTCTCGGTTTGTGTAGTTGAGTACGTAGGTACATGCCAAGGGTACGCTCCGGGTTCGCAACAGGAACGTCAGCTGAAATGTCTGTCCTAGGTCTAATGAAATCAGCGGCCTAAACCATCAGGTCGAATACATAATAAAAAAATATGATAGCAAGTACTAGGAAGAAGTGAGCATCAACCCTCCTTAAATGTGTCTTATGCTTATGGCGTATCTCATAAAGTAAATATGTGAAAGTCTTTGTACCAGTGGTATGCATGTGATGTGTAAGAGAGTCAGTCGTAGCAAATACGATCAAAGGGAGCGGTGAGCATCTACCTCTCAAGTGGGTGAATATTCCTATATGTATGTTATTGGCTTCATAAGTGAAAATTCGAGTTATCGGTGTGGGTATAACGTATATTCACTCACAGAGTGAGTATACCTATGAGTATGCAAAGAGATGCATCGGTGAAAACTTGTGTTGCCGAAATGGATGTAGCGTGTACTTGCCCCAAGTGCGACGCCTGCGCGCCAAGACTCGGGGGTTCCAACAATTTCCCTAAACTATCACGTATACGCGATGGGTTTCTGAACCTTGGAAAGCGGACTCTAATCTAGATAAGCTGATCGACCTTACCAAATGGGGCTTAACCTCTGTGATCCAATACTCAGTCAGTCAGCTACAACGCAGGGCTAGGCACATATATGCATCGGTCCAAGTTGCCACACTTTACTCATCAGCACAACAAGATGAACACCGAATTCATAGTAGTTACTTCAAAGGTAGTAATATATAAAAGAAAGATTGTATATATGGATATAATACGGGAAAAAGAATTAGTTCGTAGAAATAAAACAGTAGACAAAGAGTGTATACACCTACGCCATTGTGATCGATTCTGACCCATGTCACACATAGTCACCAACCATTGATTACGATAGTTGAGTGGACCTCAATCAAGTAGATTGAATCTACTAACATGGCTCAGACCAGAAGTAAGTGACTTTGTGAACTGATACAACGTTTTGGTTTGGCCGCCCCTAACTTTCTTCCAACTGCCTCTAATACTAGTCAGCATTTCGCGTCGTAGTAATCGGTGTTCAGGTAAATACTAGTAGATTACGAGTACCTTCTACCCTTAATGACCATGTTTCGCATCCGTAAATTAAAACAGAGCGAACTGTCGCGCAGTATCCTCGCTCCTTAATTGATAGACGGATATCTCGCCTTCGCCATAGGTGACGGAGGTTCCGAATCCGTGCTGAGATTTCGTCAAACACCAACCCATTAGGGTTGATCAGACTTCCAAGATAAGTGAAGTCGTCAACGCGTTCGACTATTTCACTCCCTATTCTTAGTTTAGTGGTTGACACAATCTTTCTTTTATATATTACTAACCATTGAAGTAACTATTTCTGTCGGCATCTTCATCATCATCTGCGTATTCTAAGTCCATAAGTGGACCTCCTGGAAGGAGATCAATGCCTGAGAGTTCAGTAGACGAGAACGTTATTTCCATCAGTAGGTCTATGACGAAGTTAAACAAAAATGAAGAAAGTGGACAGCCTTGACGGACACAACTTGAGGTTGCAAAAGCAGATGACAGTTCGCTATAGTCGTATGGATCTATTGCCTGGAGAAAGAATTCTCGATCTTGAGTATGCAGATGATATTGTCTTACTGTGCGATAATGCCCAAGTCATGAAATCCGCACTTAATCAGTTGGCAATCAGTGTCCGTAGATATGGTATGTGCTTTGCACCTTCGAAGTGCAAAGTACTTCTACAAGACTGGCAGGATTCTAATCCTGTACTCACACCCTGGGTAGTGAGCAGATAGAAGTAGTCGAGAAGTTCGTGTATCTAGGTGACTACATAAGTGCTGGTGGTGGTGTGAGTGGTGAGATTAATTTATGTATAGTGAAAGCCAGAGTGGCTTATGCCAATTTGGGCCATCTTTGGCGCCTTCGTGATGTTAGTCTGGCCGTAAAAGGTCGGATTTACAACGCGTCGGTGAGAGCAGTTTTGCCTATGCTTGTGAAACCCGGTCTCTCCGAGTTGAGGATGCTAGACGACTCTCTGAGTTTGATCATCGCTTTCTCCGAAGGATTGCTGACATCCAGTGGCAACACCATGTTAGTAATGCAGAGGTTCGGCGTCGTGTGTTCGGACGCAGAGACGATAGTTCAATTGGTGTCACCATCTTGAAACACCGACTTCGGTGGCTTGGACATGTTCAATGAATGTCGTCCTAGAGAACTACACGTCGTGCATTATTTTCCGATGCTGGGACTGGTTGGAAAAAGCGGAGAGGTGGTCAGTGTATGACATGATGTCGTGGTATGAAAGAAAGCTGTACCGAACTGGCTTCTGTTGGTCCTTCACGTCTCCCTGGTTAGGGTCATAGAGATAGTGCAACACAGTGGCTAGAGACGTTATCAGATATGGCTTAGAATAGAAGTCAGTGGCAATCCTGCTGCAACCTTCTTTCACGTTCTTCATAAAAAGTGGTTGTAACTTCCTTAAGTGAAAGAATTCTTTCTGGTTGTACCCTTCCGTTTCCCCTATTATTATTATTATCATTACACTACTATACACTAATGTGTGGTCGTTATTGTTCTCTTGTTTTTCCTTATACTCACCTTACATTCTTTTTCTCTTCGCATTCTCATTGTTTTGTGTGGCGCATATGTATTTGGTGCCTCTTCGTACCACAATTTATGTGTTCAAATAAATAAATAAATACGAATTACATGAGTTTGCAATTCAGGTTGGTTGGGGATAGTGGGTAAATGAAGTGTTGCTAAAGGCCAGTTGGAGTTTTCCCTCAAGTGTTCAGTCCATCAATTCAATCTCCTGGATTAAGAGTGAATATTAGTCCTGGATTTTTAACACCTGTTTTCTTAATAAGTCGGGACTGTTTCCTGCTGTTACCTATCGCTGCTGCCTTTTTCATCTCTTCTGCTTTCGATACACACAACTACTCATGATCATTACGTGAGCTTTGGACCAACTTCGTTTAAACTTCCTCCGCTGATCATCGTGTTCATAGTCAGATGGGATGAGTTTCCGAATATCCTTCATTTATGTAGACGCCATTGAAATTGGCTGAGTCTTCCTAACCTTTTGCTTTAAGTTGCGAGTAGATGTCATAACTGTTTCCACAGCTTTTCGAACATTATACGAAGCTACTTCAGGGTGGATATCATTTTCACGGTTGACTAGCTCCCTCTGTAGCTGTTCCTGGAATATATTTTTTAGCTTTTCATCATTAGTTTGGACACTAAGGGGTTTACTTGTGGCTTTTCTACGTCCATTAAGACTCAGACAAATATGTGCTCGAACTGGGTCATGATCCGAGTCTAAACATGTGCTCAAGGATGAGCGACAGTCTTCAACCGAACCCCTCCAACTATGGCTAATTGCAATGTGGTCTATTTGAGTCTATGGATGAGTCGCTCGCGGAGGTCACCACGTCAGATGATGTTTCTCCTCATATTTAAAGTTGGTTTTTGCCAGAAATAGACAGTTATCTGAACATAGTTGCAACAGATGGTCACCACTATCTGTTCTCTGAGCCTCAATACCGTAAGATCCGCCTAAGTGGGGTTCGGTTTGGTTTATTGTACTTGCTTGGGCATTAAAATCATTTGCTACTACTACTACTACTTCATCAGAGCGTTTAGCTTTTTGAAGGTTAGATAGCTTCCTATAAAATTCACCGTTAATTTGGTCTGAGCTGCAACTAGTGGTAGAGTAGGCAGAGACAACGGAAAGGTAACGGCATGTATCCCCATATTATCGAGTTCTGAATGTCCCGTTTAGTCGAACAGCGCACAAGCGACTGTCTATTGGGATCCAGTATACGAGAGCCTGTTCTGCCTCAGAACTTAGTGCTATACCTACACCAGCGAGACCACGGGAAGTAACAGTGGGGTTTTAAGATACTTGAATTTTAAATCGTGCCGGTTCTTTATATTGACAAGACGAGGTCAAATGAATGACTAGTTGGGTCGTTTAAGCGCGTTTTGGTGACGCAGCATACATCGATGGTGCAAGATTCTAGAGTCCTAGCCAAAAAAGCCTATTGTCTTGTCGGACACAAGATTCTAACAGTAAAAGCTCCAACATGTGATTTAGAGCATGGTTTCAGGAGACCAGGAATATATCATTAAGTGAACTCAAGTAATTAGCATTATTGATGCGTGGTGATAAAGATATATGAGAAGGGTTATTCGTGGGTATGGAAGAATTATTAAGATGTGAGAGATTCGATCATCAACAAGATGATCTCGGGTTCTAATGGAGGTAGGAAGGTGGTTATCACTCCCCGGCTACCCGTACCGTGGAAGGTTATTTCTTCTTGGAGGACCTTAAAAGGGAGCTGAATTAGTGATGATTTTAGCTACCTGCGAGCATGACCACAGAGCCTAAGAGACAACTACCTAGAAGCGTTCGCGCACGACATTTTCACTGGGAGTTTTTGACGAGTTGGCTCCACATTTCAAAACTCTTTACCTCAGGAGACGGACATCCGTGAAGTTAGGTGAGGTTGACCTATTCTAACCACACCCTTTGTAGGAGGGCAGCATCACTGCAGATGCTGGTTTTCCGAGAGAAATACCTTACTGCTGTCACAACCCTCTATAGTTAGAAGTACAAATTCTCCCTCGGACCTTAAGTTTCTGCTTTCAGTCTTACCGAACTGCTCGACATGGCAGAACCTAAAAGAAAATGTTTTTTTTTCAGTTAATACAGCTCGGTTGAGTCATCACAATAGGCACACCCGACCTGCACGTTAAGTTATCAGCAGCGGTCGATTAAAAACACTAAGTTATAGTAAACACTTTACATCTCAATTAAGTGTGCGTAGTTGGTGACTTTTGTTAATAATTGTGAGGTTAGAGGAAAGGGCTTTAAAAAGATTCAATTATTAAATCTTCTTAAATTCTCGTATACATACATCTACGTATCTTGTTGTGTGGTGTCACAAAGCGTATTCGACCAGTTTACAAGTTCATTCTTATCGCTTTACGCGAGTAGTTCACGTCTTTCGTACCCATTTCTATTTTCTTATGGAGACTTAAGAACGAGAAATTACATATTATGTAGCGACAAAAGCCATGTTATTCCTAACTTTAAGAATTTATCCAATGTCATTATTTAATGAGGTACAACTATGAGAATAGATATTTTGATAACAATTCCCGGTCTTTTTGTGATATCATAAACCCATATTTTTACTCTGCATAATTCAAAATTATATAACTTGTACGATTTGCTTATCAGAACATTTATTTGTCAGCAAATATATATTTAGACAGGTACATACTGGCACTTAGAGTTCTATTGTGGATAATGATCAGCATATCATTAAGAGTCTTGACTGCGAGAAATCGTGGTTCAGAATATTTTATAATCTGAACATGAAGGAACGCTTTTCGTTATTAATTAACCTGTTTTCCATTTTTTAAAACCGATTTACTGAGTAATTACTTCGTAAGTGTCCATGCTATACTACTCGTTATTGACTAACTTTCAATAACTAACCCATTTATTAAGGTCACTCAGCTATATGATACCATCGATGTTGAAATACTTCAGCGATTCGGATGAAAACTGAACATTCTCTCTCTCTCTCTGTGATATCAGTTTCGCGAAAAGTTAGTTGTTAAAGGACTTGGATTCCAACTAGTAAGTCACAAATTCTAACCCTCTCCACTCAATATACTTCAGTTTGGATAGTTGAGTAGTCTCACTAATCATTACACCAGCAGTGTGACTCAAAACTGAATACGTTAAGCTGTTTTTGGTTAATAGGTTATCTTTCATAAGAGTTAATATAGTGTATGCCACTAATTAGACTTTTTTTTTTTTTTAATTCCGATTATCACTATTCACTTGAGGCGCATACTCTCTCAGTTGATTGTCAGGTTTCTCGTAGTCTAATAATAAACGTTTGTCCATTTAGCTGTTAAATCTCGATACTATGTGATTGCGTTATACTGTATTTATAGTCTTTTGTGGTATCATCCTATCCGTCAATTTATATTTACCTCATATTAATCATCGCAGTATTAGTTATATGTATGTTAATATCTTTATTTCTTCATATTTAAGGTCCTCAGTGGTCGACATGTTAATGAAACTGGTTTAGTCATACGTTTTGATCCCAGTCTAGCTGTTGTTTTATCCGATCATAGTATGAATGAAATGAAAGTTGCACCGAAGGATTTACGTTTATGGCAAGATCGTGCTACAACTGTTGAATCATCTGGGCATGTACAATTGATGGATTTAGTGCAAGTTGACCCGCAAACTGTCGGTGTTGTTGTTCATGTTGAACGTGACCAAGTCTCTGTACTAACATGTTTTGGTAAAGTTGTTAATTTAAAATCGAATACAGCATTGCGTCGATTAAATACTGTTCGTCGACCACCACAAGCATTAGATCATAATGGAAATTCTATACAATTAAAGCAAACTGTTCGCTTATTAGAAAAACCTCATTGTGGATTAATTGGTGAAGTGAAACACTTGTATCGTTCATGGGCATTCATATATTGTCGTACACATTTAGAAAATGCTGGACTTGTTGTAGCTAAAACTCGTCAACTCTCTGCATTAACCACTTCACAAGGAGGTAACGAACAAAGCAATACAGAAAATGGTATTTCAATGAAAACAATTACACCTATCAGTGGTGCAAGAAACTTTGGCGGTAATAATGAAGGTGGACGTGGAAAAGGTAGTCGTAACGAACGTCAGCTAGTTGGCAGGACAGCTTTGATTGTTAAGGTCTGCCTATTTTTAATTTTATTTCCTAAAATCTTTAAAGTAGTTTTGTTAATATCACTTACAGATAGTCTTGAAAACTAAAATAAGCTCTCTTATTTCATTTCGAAACTGAAGTTTAATTCTTATTTAAAAAACTACATCCAAGTTCATATTAATTAACCATAAGGCCATCATTTATACCAAAATAGTGCTATTGTTTTGGTAGATAAAATCGTATTCAAATTGAGAATCGACTTGCTAAAAGTGAACTGGCCAAACCCCTTGTTTGGGATTATCTAGTCTCAAATTACAATTTATGAGAATCAAATCAGTATCAATTACGTTAAAACTTTATTAGAGTAAACTATTCAGTGTGAAAACTATCTATGGAATTTCAATACATTTTTACTATATTTTGTGCCTATTACAATCACTTAGTTTAAATATCCTAGCAATGTTTTAGTCATATATATATAATCGACAAACCTAATGTATTTTAATTAATTACACTAGATCAACATCAAATAACTTCATCTGCAATTAGTGTTTTTACTTTAGTTAGCGGGGCAGGTAAAATAAGAGGACAGAATGGTTTCGTTCACGATATTGAAGTCGGAGTAGCGCGAGTTATTAGTACAGTGCATGAACGTCTCACTCCTCAACACATATATTTTATTGGATAGTCACTCCACTAAAAGTGTGCATGGAACCGTAGGTCTAAGGCTTCATAGCTAATGTCTCCAACCACCTAACACGCTTATGTATTTCTCTGTGATTTTCAGCATGGATTCTTCTGATATCAGTTTGTAACTCAAGAGCCATATTGATACCTGCTTGAAATCTTTAGTTTTTCCATAACAGTCACATGGTTATTTGTGAAATTTTAAAATAACAGCATTCATATTCTCTCTCTTTCCAATCTCAATGAAATGTCATTCATGATTGGTTTAACCCAATTAGAGTTGTGATATTTAGTTAGTCATTGAAATAATTAGATGTTTCACTCAGATTATCCTTCTTAATTAGATCTCGCAATATACACGAAGCTTCAAAGTCGAAGTCTACTAGAACTCATAGATTTATGCTTAACAACATATTTTCAATTCAACAACAAAATCTACGAACAAACGAAATGGACACCAATGGGATCACCAATATCAAGACTGATCGCAGAAGCAGTGATGCAAAGACTAGAAACCGCGATATTACCAGTGATCAAGCCAAAAATTTGAATTTGCTATATAGACGACACATTCGTCATCGTCAAAAAGGATGAGCTGGAAAACACCTACAGGTTGATCAACAACGTCTTCGATGACATCAAGTTCACAATGGAACAGGAGTCAAACGAAAAACTATCATTCTTGGATGTATTAATCACCAGAATCGACAAAGGTAAACCAGACTCGAGTGTATAGGAAGCCGACCCATACAGATCGAATTCTCAACTACAATAGCAACAACCCAAGAACTCACAAAATCATCTGCGTACAAACTGTTCAAGAGGGTGAGGACACAGTGTAACACACAGCGCGGAAAAATGAAGAATACTTGAAAGCCATCTTTCAAAAGAATGGCTACTCAATCAACTTCAAAAAATACCAGCCGCATACATCATCAGAAATAAAGTCAAGTACAGAAATCAACAAAAGGATCACCTTACCATACATGTCAGCCATATCAGAAACCTCAATGAAACTGCTGAAAACCTTCGGAATAGGTGTTGCACACAAATCAACGAAATCCCTACAATCAGTCCTATGCAAACCAAAAGAAGAAATGACAGATACAAACCAAACATGATCTACAAAATAAATTGTGTCAACTGCGAGAAATACTACATCGGACGAGGCGGACGCCCTTTTCATCTTCACCTGCATGAAAATCAATTAGCAGTCAAACGCCATGACTTGTCATCACTTATATCAATGCACGTGGACAACTGTGGACACATATTCGATTGGAAAAATGTGGAGATTTTGGATAGAGGCGATTCCAAAAACACCAGAGAATTTTGAGAAGCTTGGCACTCAAGTCAATCAGCAACAAATAAGGGCATTGAAATCCACCGAGTTTATCAACTAATCAGAGAAATTATCCACAAACATAGGAACAAAAATCAAACCAGTGGGAGATCCACTCAAAACAAAGAATTAAACAATGACAAATTTAAGGTCAACAAGAACCAATCAACATCGAGGTGTACAGGACAAGCTGTGAACACATATATGGAGAAATTCGAACACTTCAATTGTATCACGACCACACCATTCAGCTCAAAGAACAAAACTCCTTCAAAATTAAATAATTCGAACTTCACGGATCGACTCAATGTTTTGACAATATCCTAAAAGTGTTATGCACGTACTAATTTTCAATAATCACGGCAAATTATCTTTTGACTAATCGAAAATGAATGAATTCATCCCCGTATTTTTTTAACCTCTTCATATTCTTCAGCAAAATCTGGGTTAATAATTTGCAACAACGTGCTGATATGAGATATGAACAATTGTTGTTAAGTGTTTTTAAGTTTCGGCCTAATACAAACAATGTCGATAAGACTATAATTTTTGGACGACCTTAGAGCGACGCCAGACACTGACCTTGAGAGTGTCCACTTAATAACCGGGACCAAATGGAGGTCGTAAAACTGTATGAGGACCTATAATTATAATTTACAGTTGATGATTAAGGTTAATAAATAGATTTCGGGTTTTCATCACAAACTCTTGTCAGCTATAATACCAAAACTCTATTCACTCAAATGGATGAGTGAATTCCGCACCAAAATCCGAAACTTGTTTTCCACTAGGAAATTGTTTCATTAATTTATTATCCTGTAACCGTTTTTTTTTTCGAATGTTTTCTTTTTGTTCTTATACAGGGTACATTAAAAGGTCTATTGGGTATTATATGTGATGCAACACCAACGCATGTAGTACTGGAATTACATAGTCAATTTAAAAAAGTACCTGTTGCACGTGAAAATATGGCTTTGTTAGACAGTGGTGGTCGTATCATGGATACACAGTATGGTGCTACTACACCTCGTATTACACCAATGCGTGAAATGCGTACACCACAGGTAAGTATTTGTCATTTTTAATGATGTTAAAAAATTTGTTTTTCTTATATTTCAGTTTAACAACATATTTTATTTGTATTCATTAATTAATCATTTTAATCATGTCAGTTTTCGTATAAAAACAGGCTATAGATTATATTTATTTTTTACGACTGATGATATTGATTAATAAGTGTTTAATTTAAACTATAACAAAGAGAGATTCAATCGTGATTCAAAGATTAAATAACAGTTCTGTTGAAATCAGCCCCCAAATGCCCTGGTACAGCCGAGAGTGGGGAGAGTCCGCTTTCCCTCTCGAAATGCTCTTACATGGCCACGCGTATACAGCCTCTGCCAGGGAAGTCTTACTCATTGCCTTCTCGTGGCGGGGGTGTTGTTTACAAAAACGAGAGGACGAAAAGCGAATGTCCGGCGCTTCAACCGGATTCCAAACCAATGGTGCACATGGGCTCCAGTATCCTGAAGGAACAAATGGCATATGAACCAATTGTTGGTCACCGGCTTCCATAGGACTGCATCTCCTAACGATGCTCCGCTGCCTTGTGGGTCAGACCTCTTGGTCGAAGGCTCGGGTTGTGGAAAACTACGTGCTTCAGTTTGGGCACCCGGGCAGTATCACAACCCTCACACATATCGGATGAGATTTGTGTGGCGCATATGAATTTGGTGCCTCTCTATACCATTATCTATGTGTTGAAATAAATAAATAATAATCTGTTGAAATCCGAACCGCAGACGAACCAACAGATAAATATTTCGGTATTACTCTCCATATTGTCATATATATATATAGCGAAAAGATCATTTAAACAAAAAATATTTCCTTCCTCAATTTGTGTATGAAATAGAAATTTTGCACATGTAAGTGTAAAAGAATTTTTCCAGGTTTGTGAACATTAAGGTACTTAATCACAGATAAATATCCATATCGGGAATCAATCTCAGCTGGGGTACTACTAAAAACCTGAGAGTATTAGACAGTCGCCTCGAGTCTTTAGAATGGGACTCCTTCAGCAGTGAATACCCATCACCCTACCATGGGTTGGACCCCTCTCAAGTATCATGACAAGGATGTGATTCTTCCTAAGTGTCACTGTAACCCAGTTGCCCAAACAACTTATTATTAAACATAAACTATGTTCTTTCTTAAAAGTAGTTCCTTCAGATTTATCATAAAAATCACAGTAGTAATCTTTTTCTGTTCAGTTACCTTTCTTCACATATGTAGTCAACAGTTCTGATAAAGATTATATCAGTGAATGATGATATGACATCTAGAGTTAACTTATCGATAACACTTATATTTCTAATGTATATAACAGTGCATAATCATTAGTTCACTTTCTTGATTGGCAGAAAACTTATTCCATTTTCAATATTAATTACTTTTTATTATATCTTTTCTATCCCTTAAATAACAGTTGGCATATGGTGCTCAAACACCACATGCAGCAAGTACAACTCCTCGTGGTGACAGTACCCCCTTACCGAGTGCATTTAATGCTGGTATGGCTACACCAAAAATTAGTCATCTTGATGAACCCATGACTCCAAGTTCTAGTAAGTTTTGTCTTATGCATTTTATCCAGAAGCTTTTTATATTATCAAATTATTATTAAGATTTATGATTTCCCGTTGGTCATTTTCGTGGCATTACATGGATTGCTGACTACGATACATGTTCATCAAACTCAAATTATCCACAAATTGGCAAATAAAATTTGAAGACAAGTTTTACAAATCTATACCAGTCAAATAATAATAGTTACCAAGATGTGCTAAACAAATGTCTTAACTTTCAGGGGCTTCGTAATATTTTTTTTCATTACTATTCATTTCGAATTTCTTAATCCCAACTTTATTTTGCCTTTATCGCGTGATAACGTTTTCTAATTTCATAATTTTAGTCATGGATTTACATTAGTTCTAATATAATATACCGTGAATTTTACTTGACACTATGTCTGTCTGGATTTATGTTTAAAGTAACTGATTTACAGTTATTGGGTTATATGTTTGAACCACCTACTTCAGTTTAGACAGAGGGAATAATGTCATCAGATCTCACATACATAAAATATGTGCATTAAATCTGAATGAATTCATTCTGGCCTGATTAATAAGTCATATTCTTTTCTTTATAGGCTTTCTGTGGACTTCAAGTGATCTTCATCGTATGTCAAGTTCAAGTACCCATTCATTGTCTGATACTGAATAGATATGGAATTAATGATACTTTAAAATACTACGAATCAAATAATAACTTATTCGTTTCAAATTCATTCAGACTGTGATGAAATAAGAATAACTGGAATGACCACAATGATCGGGATGTATACACATTAAAAAAAAATTGAAAAACCATTTGTGCTTTTTTTATTGTGGCCTTTCTGTGTTTGTTTTTTTGTGCCGTTGTGATTAAATGCAATGAGGTTGTGTATATTACTATGTTACAAATTCATGGTTGGTGGGAGGTCGTCACAAATACTCATGTAAATAAGCAATGTATTAACCTCAGTACTGACAATCGTTCGTTTAAATGCAAGTAATCTAGGTAATTTATATGTAAATTCTTTTCATCGATGACATTCTGAGTCGTTAACAGCAATGAAATGTAGAATATGTATTTCTTGGGCTTATTTGAATAACAATAAGTTCTATTGTTTACAAACTAGCACCCTTTACTTTGATAGGCTGATTCATTAGAATACTATACAGAGTTAAGTGTTTTCAAAATGGCTACCAGTTATAAATAAAGCTAGTAAAATTTGATTCCGAAAGCAGCACAACTCAAAAGGATCTCCAGTTCTGGCAGTAATTTTTAAGAAATTTTGCTAATCAACGATTCTTTGCAGCCATAGAGTAGGTATTGTCCTCTGATGTCACTGTATTTTAATGAAACATAAGGCAACAAAGAGGATCAATCGTATTTTGTGTGAATTCTTGCTTCATTAACACAATCTTTCTTGCATTCATATCGATTCACTCTGTCATATTACTTTTGTTTGTACGGAAAACAAAACGAAAATATTAGAGTCTTCTACTATCAATTCCGATAATGGTTAACGTTGGTTAAGCCCTTTTATTAACTCATTTAACAGACAATGTTATTCGGACATTAACAATCTATCTATTTCTTTGTTCTATTATGATCACTAGCTTGTCAGTATAAATGTGCACGCTTGATCGCATGTGACAGCCTACGCATATATTTCTCTCTGGCTTAAAAATATGGCTCGGTGAATCATTATCTCCCCCATGTATATATGTACTTGAATCCTATTAATGGTCTATTTTGCGCTTTTATGCAGCTTGACTACAAATTGACCTCGGTATTCGTTCGCGCATAAATATTAGTCTCTGCTCAAAATCCGCTCGGTGTGCTTGTAGCTTTGTTATGTTTGTTATCTGTCAATAAACTGTAGTCGCCGCTTCTGATTCCAAACACCGTTGGGATATTTATTTTTTTAATTTATTTAAACACATAAACATTAGTACAAGGAGGCACCAAATAGATATGCGCCACATAAATCATTCGACTTGTGTGAGGCCTGGGATACTCTGCCCGAGTGCCCAAACCGTTGAGAATTATATAATAACGGTTATCAAGATGATTAATTAACGAAGATAAACCACTTATCGACTTAGAATACGCGGATGACATAGTCCTGTTTGGTGAAGACGCTGACAAAATGCAGAGTCTTTTGGTAGCACTAAGCAACAATGCCAGAATGTTTGGAATGCGCTCCTCTCCCTCTAAATGCAAGTTGTTGCTTCATGACTGGTCTGTGTCAACACCTGAACTAAGGATAGGGAGTGAAGTAGTCGAACGCGTTGACAACTTCACTTATCTTGGAAGTCTGATCATCCCTAATGGGTTGGTGTCTGACGAGATCTCAGCACGGATTCGAAAAGCTCGTTTGGCTTTTGCCAACTTACGTCACCTGTGGCGAAGGCGAGATATCCGTTTATCAATAAATGGACGAGTATACTGAGCGGCAGTCCGTTCTGTTTTAATTTGCAGCAGCGAAAAATGGCCATTGAGAGTAGAAGACACTCGTAAGCTATTAGTGTTTGACCACAGATGCCTTAGAAATATTGCTGGCGTCTGCTGGGATCACCGGGTAAGTAATGGTGAGGTTAGACGCAGGGTATTAGGGAATGATGGTAAATCAGTTGATGAGGTTATGAATCTTCATCGACTGAGATGGTTGGGCCACGTATTACGTATGCCCAAACACCGATTACCGGTGTTGGGGATAGTTGGATGAAAAAAAGGGGCGGACAAACCAAAACGTGGCATCAGTGCTTGAAGTCACTAACTTCTAGTCTGAGACATGTTGGTAGATGCAGACTACTTGGTTGGGGTCCACGTAACTATCGTAACCAATGGTTGGAGACTCTCTCTGTCTTCCCTTAAACTAAGAGATTAAAATCACTTCATATCTTTCCTTCTACTAACTAATTCTTTCTTCCTGTACTGTATCCTTATATGCAATCTTTCTTTTATATATTACCACCTCTGAATTAACTACTTTTATGAAATCCGGTGTCCATCTTTTTGTGTTAATGAGGTATGGCAACTTGGACCGATGCATAAATGTGCTTGGTCCTACGTTGTAGCTGACTGACTACAATATCGGTAGAAATATTATGAAGGAACTACATAATTTATAAATCGAGTTCATAGCTGACGAACCTTTGGAAATCAAGGTACCCTTAGATAACTTCAATACAAGATTTTTCAATAAGTACATTTCTCGGTTTCTTTATATCAGATGTTACCTTTTAAAATTTAACCCAGCACTCAAAATAGACAATTTGAAATAAAATATAACAAATGGAAAGCTATTTGATTATCGTTAGTCAACAATTGTCCAGTAAGAAAATATTTTCTTGTTCCACATTAGAGATTTATTCACATTCAAACTGTACATAAATTTGTTTAAGTAATTCTTTATCAAGTGAATTATCATTTGTAAATTTTTAATAAATTTAATTATATTTACACGTTCTGACCCGTCAATCATCATCCAAGCAATATCAAATCTTGGCAATTTTGATAAAAATAATAAACGTTCTACAATGTGTTGATTTGTCAATTGATCGGAATGATAAAATGCTTGCAGCATACGTGATAAGAAATCACTTTCCATATTTTCACCGAATAACTTCACATAATGAACTGGTTGAATATTACACAAATAAATGATTGCTTCTTTGTTAAGGTTTGGCTGGTAGTTAGATGAAGAATTTCTTTGGCATAATTCACGTAGTTCACGTTCTAACTGAAACCAATTTGATGGTGGTTTGTGTAAGTTCGTATTTAACAATGGGAGTTGTCGTTTAAAATTATGATCACTTCCAGGATTAATCGTTTCACTGGTTGGTACTATTGGCGTTGACGTACTGGAGGATATATTCCGAGATTCCAAACGATCTGATGTCTGTGGAGTCGAGTGCAAAACATTCTCATTTTTTGATTGATCTTTATTCAAAATAGAACACTTGTTATTATTTGAGACGGAACTATCATTATTAGTACACACAGATTTTGTACTATTCTGCACAGGTGTACTCAACATTTGTTTATTATGATTATCACCATCAACTTCAATGATTGGTATTCGTCTCATTTTTCTCGGATTACTCGACTGATTGAACTACAAGACACGGTGGAATTAGATATGTGTGCGACTTTCTTTTTACCAATTAAAGCTTCGAGCTCATTTATGGCAGTTTTATTATCTGGATCGAATCTCAGCAATTCGTTTAAATCTTCAATTGCTCCAGTAATATGACCCAAACCTTTTCGAGCAAGTGCTCTTCTAAGAAATACAATTTAATACATAAATAATAAATAAAGCTTAATATGACACAGTATTGTAAACAGCCTGTACTAAAATGTCGATGTAGATTTTTGTGCTTGTTATTACTGACCAACAAAATATGTGACCTGAACATCAAATAAAAACATCATTCATATCAGAACTCAATTGTATATTTTTTATTAGTGATACAAGGTTCCGGTTACCTATGTTGTTATCTTAACATTTTATATATATAATGTCAGTTTTAAAACACTAATACAAGTTAATCCAGTAATGTTACATGGATGATACTTTCTGATGAATGTCAAAAACACGAGTCTTGAAATTCACAAAAACTATTGCTTAATTTACTTAGTTCAATATCAGATCACTTAGTTTAGTAACAACGTTGTACTTCTTGATAGATACACGGATATGTCAGCCAGCATGTCAGTTACCGTTACGATATATCGAATTAAGTGAGTATTGTAAAAACTAGAAAGTTAACTCAGCGAAAATCAAAATCTTATGAACCACATGATTTTTTATGTTAGTTATGAGTTCTGAGAAAAGCATGTAATTGGAAACTTATAAATACTCTCGATGTTTCTACTCACTACATGTCTTCGATTCTAAATTTCAACACTACGTAGTAAGCTTAAAGTCTGACAATGGTCTTTAGACGTAGGTTAAGTAGATATATAGAGTAATTAAGAAGTAGGGGAAAAGGTTATGAAATTTTGAAGAAATCAGTTTATATGCTTCCTATGTGTATTTAGTAAACTATCAAGTAAATGATATTTTTATATTATCCTAATAGGAGGCTTTCATTCAAATTACTGACTGTTGAGACATCTAGTAATTAATCATAACTCTTACTCATCTTATTATCACAAATGTCACAGCTATTTACCAATTAAGATGATTTATTATTTATGGAGCTTTGTACTCTAGTATTTATATTACGTAATTAGGGGTCTTTTTGAATCGATTAATACAATAACACGAAGAACACAAGGTACTTGGATGGTTTTTCTGATGTTCTGACTGTTGGGTTCGGGAATGAGTGAGCTATCAACAGTTGACGCATAAAGCAACTGAGTCAGTGGGCATAGGTAAATACAGCATGGAGAGGGCAGGTGGTTGAAGTAAGATGGCTGTAAGTTCCGAACTCAGGTTCCGTCTCAGTCACCACTAGTCAACAGGATGATTTTGGAATCCTAAGATAATTGATGCTCCCGCAGGACTCACAGTCATAGATATCATCACACTACAACTTGATTAATAGAATTTGATTAGCAATAAGTATTAGACACAATATGACATTGGATACAATCAAACTATTAATTGATATGAATAAATATCAGCTTAAACTTCGTTTCCAAATTATGAGTTGAATATCTGCCTA